GCCAGCTTCAGCCAAACCACCTTCATCAACTCCCCATACGAAGGCCTCAAACTCCCCTCCTCCTCCTTCCTCCCTTGCTCTGCCAGATCGCCGCCTCCCTCCGGCAAGCCACTCCACGCCTTCCTCAACTCCAGCAAGAACAGCAGCACAGTCAGCCACACAATCGCCTGCACCACCGACAGCTGCACCACCAGCTCCTCCGCCCACTTCCCATACATGGCGTCAACCAGCGGCACCCCGACCACCAGCGCGTTCGTCAACGTGCTCAACGAGAAAGTCGTTATCGACCAGCAGTAGCAGCTTCCTCCCTCCTCGCCTCTGAACTTCACCCAAACGGCGATGACGAAGAGAATAAGCAGTTTGGAAATCGCGTCGGCGGTGATGAAGCGGTAGTTCATGGAGAAAGGATCGACGTGGAGGGCGAAGTTTAGGGTGAAGAAGGGAAGGGTGAAGTAGGCGACGAGTTTGTTAACGGCTACGCACTGCTCGGGAGTGAAAATGCGCCACCACCGGACGGAGCCGTAGCCGAGGGAGAGGGAGAAGTAGAGGGGGAGCATAGCTTGGAAGACGTTGTAAATATCTCTCCATCCTATCATTTTTGATGAATTCGATCTTCTGATGGTTTGGCGGAGGGTTGATAGATTTTATCAGTGTTCAGAGTATAAATATATATAGAGAAGAGGGGAGGAAGAAGAATGGATTCTGATGCGGGTGGTGGAATTGATGGGGAATTTGTCTTAGTACGTACTGCATGAGCTTATAAGGTTTGGTAAGCTCGGAGATTTTAGTAAAAGCTTATTTGGTTGAAACAAAAAGTGCCGTAAAGTATTTTAAATATATTGTAAATCATTTGTTTATTTTTGAAGTAAATCAAATTCGTCTCGTTTTGAGATTACGCCACAAGCAAGTTTTTTTGACTGTCACCCACCACTGCCGCCACCTGTTAACCAACACTGGCCGCCACTAACCACTGTCCAGCACCACCACCGCTGGCGATCGCAACCACCCATTGTCGGCCATCACTACTGTCAGTTGCCACCTCCACCCGCCGTTGCAGGACCACCACTAGACATATTTTCAAGCATATAATTTGATGTGACTTAGAAATTAAAGTTGTAAGTAAATATAAAAGTTTTAGTATTATATATGTAAATAAATAAAAATTTTATGGTATATACTTGAGTCCTTTTTTTATTATGATTTAGCATTAGTTACTTATGAAATTTTATCTTAAATAACAATGTCAATGAATAAGAGCTATGAAAATTAATGACAATTGTCTATCTTTTTCCAAATTTTATAATTGAAAATTCGAAAACGTAAATTCGTTCATTATTTATTTTGGTAAAAAGAAATATTCAATGGAAATTTAAATGAGAAAATGTCCCACACCCATATTAAACATGCGGTAGCTTCTCATTGTTGAGATGTTAGTTTTGTTTGGAATCTGATTGTGTCGATCAATTGGGTTGTATTATTAACTTAAACCTCAATTTCATTGATCGAGCTCTCAACGGGGTTGCAGGAGGTCCTCCTCCTGCTAGGGTTCGAGTTCTCTACACTTGAATTATTTTTTCATACAACTGCACCTGAGCATTAAGGCGCTGTAATTTTGTTGGAGACAGACATAGAGCGGAGCGCCATAGCACTACGACACAATTAGTCAAACTAGATATATAAAATAGAGCGCCACAACGGTACTAGTCAGGCTAGACAGTTTCTTTTTCATTTTTCAAATTTAACTTGAAGGTTTCGTCCCGTGGTGTTATCAAAGTGCATCACTTTGTCCATTCTACAAGTAGAACATTATAAGGAGTGAAGAAAGAACATGAGAGAGTGAGAGAGAAGAGATTTATACAATCTTAATTTTCATAGTGAATTTCTTGACGTGTTGTTGCTCCGTGATTTTTTTCTAGTTTTGAGTTCTTCCACATTAATTCTTGGGATTCTTCTTTTCATTGCATTTTATCTAGCTTTTTATTTTGTTGTTCAATGCATGGTTTAACTTCCCCAACATGGGATTCACCGAAGAATCCTTGTCATAGCTTTGGTGGAAGATTATCCTTTTAAGGTATTTTGACCATTGTGGATAGGGTTGTAAGCAAACTAAAGTATGCTAAGCATCTGTCTAATTGAGTTGAGCTAGTTTAATTTTTATTAAGCTCGAACTAGAGCTTGAGCTTGACTTGAGCTCATTTACTGAGTCCATACTCATATCATTAGAAAAATTTTACGCTCAAGCTTGTTTGAAAAGTTCAAGTTAACTCAATTGTTAAGTTAAATTTCTTAGTTCTATACATATTTTTTTAGAGATACAAATAAAATAATAAGGGCATATAGAAATAATTTTAAAAAGTAAGGAAATTAAAGAATATTAATTTAATATTAAAATTTAAATATATTTTGAGTTAATCAAGTGGCTCGATGAACTTATGAGCGAGCTAGTCTAAGCTCAAGCTTGATCTCATATAATATATGAACTCGAGTATAGGCTCGAGTTCAAACTTGTGGCTCGATAAACTCAACTTATCAGCTCGCTAACGAGTTGAGTTTTTGCCAGCTCAGCTCACTTACACCCTCTAACTAAGGATTTATTGGTTTCAAGAGAGTATCTCTAGCTATAGAAAAATCCATGGGAAGGTACTTGTTCTTGATGGAATTTGAAAAATAATTGTATAAGGATATTCTATTGTGTTTTTTATATCATGCTGAACTTTGATATACAAATCCAAGAGATATGAAGTAGGATAAAAGCTTAATGTTGTTATTGTTGTTAGTGGTGGTGGTGAAATTTAAAGTCTCTAAATTTTATTGAGATTAGTGCAACCTTTGAACATCATATATATAGCACCAATCTCCGAACAAATCTAAGAGATTTAAAGTTCAACTTGACATAAAAATGCATCAAAATGTCTTAAGGCTCTTTTTCTATGAAATTATCAACCACATAAGAGATCTTGTCGATGTGATAGCTTGTTGTGGTTAACTCAATTTTACATAGCTTAACAACTTGTTAAGTGTTGAATATGGGCGGGTCATTTCAACGGGCCACAAGCCCGATTGGGTTGATTGAAGTTGTAATCCATCATGTACAAAAACTATCGTTACGATAATCAACAAAAGATAATTATTTATGATTTTAAAAATCATATTATTTTTAAAATAAATTCAATAATTTTAAAATTCTTCATGATGAAGATATCGAGCCCAATTTTCCTCCATTGATTTCATTTCAATCACCAACCTCCTCAAGAATATCACCTATTCTTTAAAAAAAAAAGACATTTTATTATTATTTAAATTTTTATTATGCATTTTGTAATTTCCAAAATAATTTAATTTAGTACAATATATTTCGGGAAATCCTGTAAGTAGAATTGGTCATTATTATTTTAATTTAATTAGTAATCTTCATATTGATTTTGTTGTGGGTGCATTTTATATGCTAATTCCTCAATTATGAAAAAAAATATGCATTAATAAGCATTTTAGAATTCATTTCAACTATGGAAATGGAAGAAAAAAAAATCTCTTTGATTTATTTTAACAAGTATTCCATAATCAAAGAAGAAACACTACAGGAAATTCATCGCTTACCGGCGGTCTGGACCGATGGTTTTCCAGCCGCCGGTAATAACAGCGGTTTAACCGGCGATGTGACTGCCGGTTTTTACTGGCGATGTGACTGCCGGTTTTTACCGGCGATCTAACCGGCCGTTATGCAAGTTGAAGCCGCCGGAAATAGCGGCGGTCCAAAAACCGCCTGTTAAACGGCCGACATTAAATCTTACTAGGGCGTTGCTGGCGGCTAGAACCGCCGGTGTTAAGTGAATTTGTTTCCGGCGGTTTAAACCGCCAGTAATTAGTGTTTTTCTGTAGTGAATATAACTTTTTTTGTGTGAAAAATAGAATTTAGTAAAGCTTATATATTCATATATGCTCATGTCGATAACTCGTAGGTATCTAAATAGATTGATCTCAAAGAAATGTTATATTTCTCAAGAAATGACACATTTCCTCTATACATAATCATCTATTATAAAGATGACGCACTCCTTTCAAGTGCTGCGAATCTGTGATAGCTCATCAGAGAAGCTAATAACATTCGAGATAAATCTATCTAAAAGAATGATAACTCCTACTTCCTCTCATTGATCACTCGCCCTTCCATTGTCACCCATTAGGGGTGTCAATATATATTGGACCCAACCAAAAAATCCGACCCGAAAATTTCGAGTTTGAATTGACCCAAACCCGAAGCGGGTCAGGTTCGGCTTCAAAAAATTGACCTGGCTGCCCACGTAGCCTGCTCGCCCAAACCCGAAGCAGGTCAAGTTCGGCTTCAAAAAATCGTTCGTTTTGTGCCGCTGCTAAAGCCGAATCGGGTCGGGTCGGGTCGGGTTGACCCGAAGCGGGTCGGATTCGGATCCGGAAAATGGACCCGCATGCAAAAATGGGTTGGGTTCAGATTGACCCGAATAGTGTCAGGTCAATTCCGGATTCGACCCGAACCCGACTCGTGACCCGAAATTGACACCCCTATCACCCATTATGGGTGAGGAGGATATTTCCTATAATATGTACTATTTTATCCTCTTATAGTTGAATACTTCTCTTGACCTATTGAGCTGCAAACACGAGCTATAAAGTTGCATCACATAAATTTTTTTGTGTTTACATGTTTTCTTCTTCTTCTTTCTAGACCTCATACAGAGACATCGGAAGTCCTCTTCTACCTTTCCATTCAACCACTCTATCCACCTCTTCTTCCCTCCTATGAATGAAGAGTTCAACCTTAACTTTGTTACATAATTTAACGTATATATGGAAAGCTTTGAATGAATGATGAATTGGTCAAGGTGCTCTTCATCTATATCCACAACACGAACATCCGCTTGAGACTGCAATCGATAATAGGAGCTTGAGCTCATTCCATTGCGTGAAGTTACCAAATTAAAATCAAGAGCATCAACATGAAAGTTCTTTACATTTTTTTAAGGAGAATAATCTCGATCGTCTTCGCATCTTCATAAGGTCTTGAGAACTCCTTAAAAGTGATCAGTCCAATCTCTATAAGATGATGAGCCATGAGTTACAATATATACATATATCACTACAGGAAAATGGCTTGCTACCAGCGGGAAATTAGTCGAAAATTTTGATTTTCCGGCAGATGTACATACAACGGTAATTCGCGTGTTGGAAAGTCTTTACCAACGAAATATTCTCACTGAAAACTTTTCCGACAGATTTTCCGACCAATTATGACGATATAGGGCTTTCTCCGTCAAATTATTAGAAGGTAATAACACCGATGGAAAAAATGTAGGAAACATTTCGTCGGGTTTAAGTAATTCGGCGCAATTTAAGCCGGAGATTTTGCTGGTAATTTCCAATGAAAAATGCGGTGGAATATAATAAATATCGGCAAATTAGCAGGCGAGATATGCGTCGGTAAATTAACGACAAAAAATACATCGAAAATTTACCGGCGAAATATCCGTTGGTTAGTCCACCGCTTTTAACAGCTCATGTAAATCCGTCGTAAAGTCAAACATTTATAGAAGATTTTCATGTAATGTGTATTATTAATTGATTACTTTAAATGATGGTGCCTTAATTATAACATAAAATAAGTGAAATCAAAATCATCCA